AAATCAGCCAAGCCAGCACCGCTGCATGGAGACACGATGCTGTTGGGGGCAAGAAGCTGGCACCCACCTGGCTGCTCAGAGCATACAATAATTCCCCACTATTCTGCCAAACTACAGTCCAAAGAATACCTATGGTCCCATTCAAAGCCCAACTCTGCAACAAGAACTGGGGTTTGAGACCAGCTTTGAGGCAGAGATGTCGCTTCACCCCTCTGTGCCACTTTAACATTTGCAAGCAGGGACAAGAATTAATGTATCCACAAGGGTGCTGCTTGGCAGATCCTAGGTTGGAGATGGCAGATCTCTGAAAGATTGGAAACGTGCAGACACTACAAAATTGCAGGAGTGAGGGGCACGCAGCATAGTGCTTGATAGCCCTTTAGTGGGTGACAAATAAGAAGTGCTCAGCCCCAAGTGAAAGCCCCACCACAGCCAACACATACCCTGACAGGGCTGCAGAGCAGAGCAGTGTCCCACAGCCTCCATGTCCCTCATGCAGAGATGCAAAGCAACAATGGCCCTCAGGCCTGGTCCCAAGCCAGCATCACCCAGCCTGGGACAGCCACTACCTCAGCCTGTAAGCAACAGGTGGGTTGATCCCCTACCTCCATGCCTCCTGCAGCTTGTTGAGGGGGTGCGTGGGGTCATCACGGGATGGGCCAAGGCAGAGGACTTGGTGGTACTGCTCCAAAGCAGCCTGCCTGCACTCAGCACTGCAGTATGTCACCTAGAGCAAGAGGCACAGCACCCGGCATTGGCTACAGCAGCAGGAAAAGGGCTTCTTGGGCCCAGCCGAGCCCCAGCTCTTTAGCAGAAGGAAAAAGCAGTCACCTATTATAGGGCAGAAAGCCACACCAAAGGCCTGCCCGGATGCTACAAAGGAGGCAGCGACCCCAAGAAGATCACGGTCCCCCCCGACAACCCCATACCTGGCAGCGAGGACACTGCTGGTGCAGGTCTTTGCGGATGCTGCACTGCTCTGGGTGAGGCAGCACCAGAGAGCTCCTCCCCAGCAGTCGCTGGGCATTCTCCTCTGCTGTCTCCAAAGCCCGCAGGCAGTGATCACAGGCTGCAAGCAGAAAACACAACCAGATGCCCCAGTGTGTTTAAGGGCCCTATGACACACGACAAGCACACCCCTGTCTTTAAGGGCTGCATGATACACACAGCAAGTGTCCTCCTTTTGCTGACCTGCAGCAGAGCCCAGCAGACAGCACAGTCTAGGTAGGACAAGGCCCAGCTTGCGTCCAACCCTACTTTCGCATTTCTTCTCTCCATCCCCTCCTTTTGTCCCAAAAGACCCACCCAAAAGCAAGAGCCCAGTGGAACAGCTTAAGCCACACACACAAAAAAAAGACTTTTAAATGTTGACTGGTTTCCACTTTCACACCTCTGAAGAACACCGGCAACCCCGCAGGCTGTACTCCATAGACTCATGAATCACAGAATGGCCAGGGTTGGAAAGGGACCTCAAGGGTCGCTAATCTCCAAACCCCCACCACATGCAGGGCATAAAGATTGGAAAAGATCTCTCAGATCACCAAGTCCAACCCCCACCGTGCCTCTCAGTGCCACATCTCCACGGCTCTTGAGCATCTTCAGGGATGGTGACTCCACCACCTCCCTGGTGCCAATGGCTGATCATGTGGATTAGCACCCACACCACTCAGAAACTGTGGTGTCCCCAGCGTATTTTAGGTTTTTTTTCCAGCACGATGGTTTGGTTGGCAGCCTCCTTCAATCTGTGCCTGCTCTTCCACCTTCTTAACGGTGTCCAATGAAGGCGTGAAGGATCTGGAGCACAGATCTTACGGCGAGAGGCTGAGGGGATGGGATGGCTGAAGGTGGAGGAGGCTCAGGGGAGGCCTCACGGCTCTGCACGGCTGCCTGAAAGAGGCTGGGGCGAGGTGCGGCTCAGCAACAGCAACAGAACCAGAGCTGATGGCCTTCAGCTGCATCGTGGGAGGGTCGGGTTGGACATGAGGAAATCAGGCAGGCAGTGGCCAAAGGAATGGGGGAACCTGGAGGTGCTCCAGAACCGCGGGGTTGTGGTGCCGAGGGATCGGCGAGCACACACGTTTGGGGACGCCGGAGCTGGAAGCAGCAGCGGAGCCCAGCCCACCCCGACCCGCAGCCCGCGGCTCACCTCGGTAGTTGTACAGCGCGTTCCAGAGGAACTGCGACGAAACCACCGGCTTCTCCACGAACACCGCCTCCCCTTTGCGGATGCTCCGGGTGGCGAACAGCCCCTTCCCCTGCCACGGGGGACAAACCCGGCGTTAAGGGGAAACGTTAAACGGAGCTCGCCCCGCAGCGCGGCGGGCACGGCTCACCTTAGCGCTGCTGATATACCGCGATTCGGCCGCGGCCCCGAGCCCCGACCGGGCTCCCAACGCCGCTCCGCGCGCGTCCCCCGCCGCGGCGGCCATCTTCGGGCGGCGACTTCCACGCTCTGACCCACGGGGGCGGGGAGTGCTTCTTCCTCCTCCTCCTCCTCCTCCTCCTCCTCTTCTCCTCCTTCTCTTCCTCCTCTTCCACGTCCCTTCCCGCCCTGCCCGGCTGGAAGATGGCCGCCGCTCCCCACATAGCGCTGGGGCTCCGCTCCCGCCGCCCCTCAGCCCACAGGGCGGGCGGCCATTTTGGCTCCCCCCACCCAGCCGCCCCCCCCAAAAAAACACAACACACACACCTCAAAAAAGCCCCATATCGGAGCTGGGGCTCTTCCCCAGATGGACAGACAGCAGCTGGGAGCTTGCTGGTGTCTCTGCGATCGGTTTTATTTCATTTTAACCACCAGTCCGTGCGAGAACGCACCGTACCCCTGGGCACCTCCTCAGCGTGCTGCAAACTCTTTTATTTTCCATAAAAAAAAATCATTCAAAATTCCCTCCAGGTCATTAACACACGCCTTGCTTTTCCCCGTAAACGCCTAAAATCCACGCAAACACCGAGTTGAGCAGCATTGCATCGCTCTCTCATTCACGCCTGCTTGCCTTCATCCCAGCTCTGTCTGGATACGGGAAGGAGGGATTTATAATTTTGGGACGTTTTCAGGTGTTTTGGGTCACTAGGTGTCACTGCCGGCACGAGTTAGAAACAAATCGTGGTTCTGTTGCGAGCCCCCATAGGGAGCGCTGCTCTGCTGGGCCATCCCTCCATCCTGCAGCCGTGGCGATCCGTGCTCCTTTTTATGCCAGTTTTCACCACTTATGCACATAACAGCAAAACACTGCGATACAACCACGGCACATTCCCTTTCTGTAAGGTTTCGGTGCAAAGATGCAGCATGGAGCATCCGCTTGTGCCGTGACTCAAACCCTTCTGCCTGCCTAACGCCTTGTGGCATTTCTTGCTATAAATATAGGGCGAATTCTGCAAGAAATGGGCAAAAGATGTACTTGTGTTGTACTTCACCAGCAATTAGGCACTGGTGAAGGCTGCCCAGGGAACGGCACTGTCCCTGGGACGCTGCAGAGCCATGGAAATACGGCACTTGGGGACACCCAGGTGATGCCGAGTCCTGCTGTCCTCTCCCAATCTCATCTTCCCTCTTAGACACACTGTTTGCAAAGCAAATGAAGAAGCGACGCTTGGCAAGGAGAAAAGAATGTTATTTCTTTTCTCTCTAACACTAGAGGAAAGCAATATGCAGTTTTTCACTCAGAGGGTGGTGAAGCACTGGAACAGGTTGCCCAAGGAGGCTGTGGATGCCCCATCCCTGCAGGCATTCAAAGCCAGGCTGGATGTGGCTCTGGGCAGCCTGGTCTGCTGGTTGGTGACCCTGCACACAGCAGGGGGTTGAAACCAGGTGATCATTGTGGTCCTTTTCAACCCAGGCCATTCTATGATTCCGTGGTCGGAAAGAGAAGTGATGAATTACCCTGAGCTCATGGGATGTTGCGCCTGGTGCCCTGGGGATGAGGTGACAGCCTGAGCACTGTCTGCATGGGCAAAAGCTGCTGCTGCTGTGCACACCAGCCCCTAGGAATTACTAAAACACAGAGAAACTTGAATGCTCAGTCCTGACCCCTCGGAGCCCTCCCACCCACCAGGAATATGACGGTAAGCTGCAGTGTGTGGTTGCAAGTGTGCTTGCCGAGCTCTCCAGGTGCTGCTTCCCACAGCACTGCAGTGTATAACGAGGAGAGAACTGAGCAGCCACCATCTGGGCCAGGACCAGCACATCTGGATGAGGGCAGGGGGCCGTCTGACACAGCAGAGGTGTTGGAGAGCTGCTGGTTTATAACAGCACCGGTCTCTGCACCTCTGAGAGCCTCATGAGACCCTTGTTCCCCGTGCAAACCATGGTGAAGTAAGGCAAAAAACACACTCTGAAAGGCAAAAGAAAGGCAGGAAGACAGCAAGGCACAGGACAGGAGGAGGAGCACTGCTGCTCTAGGGGCAGTCAGACCCTGTTCATCATGTTGCATGAATAATACATGAAAATAAATACAATAACGATAAAAACGATGCAGGCGGGAGTAAAGGACTTTTCAGTTTCCACTTTTTTTTGTTGTTGTTGTTGTTGTGATCTCAGCATCCAACATAGGAATCAAGATGACCAGGAGAAACAATCAGAGCCAAATCTCCTCCCAGCACAGCTCTCCCTCATAGGAGCACACAGTACCTGCAACAGGAGTGACCGCGTGTTCAGATGCTGCCGTGCTCACAGCTGTCAGAGACATGGACTGAACACCAGCCTCTCTATTGGAAACTGTGCTTCCTAGCACTGTGATAACAAATGAAATCACACACTTTGCCACGGCGATGGAACCATCAAACATCAAGAGTTACAGCACTGGTTACCAAACAGGGCATCTCTACACTTGGATGCTTCTTCCCACCCAGTGGCAGTTTAGTTCTGTAGCTCAAAACTCTCAGAGCAAGAACTTTGAGTCTAGCTTGGACCAAGCGAGCGCAGATGTGCCTGCATCCCCAGTACCTCCATCAGGCAGGTATGGCTGCAAAAACAACAGTGGCAGCTGCATCCCATCAGCTCCTCAAAGCTCAACGTCCACTGTGTCCTCCTCATGCTCCTTGACATCTGTGGGGCCAGCAGAGGCAGGCTGCATCACCCCAAACTGTGACAGCTTTGCTTTCTTCTGTTCCATGCTCTGCTTCCTCCATTTGATCCTCCGGTTCTGGAACCAGACTTTCACCTAGCAGGGAAATGGTCTTCAGAAACAGACAAGGAGGAGCAGGAAAAATTCAGACCCTGCATCATCCAAGGATCCATACTGCACAAAGCACCTCCAGAACACCTTAATCTTAATCAGCCCAACTCAGCTTGAACTCCAATGCAAACAGGTTTGTGCTCCCGAAAGCTTTTTGTTCTACTTCATAAATGTCAAGTGTTATCATTCATAAATCTAAACTTATCTTGCAATGTTCTCCACCGTTATCTCGCAGCACGTCACTCTGCATCAATTCCTGCTTCCCAAGGGAAGAATCCCCACCAACTGACCCCAGATCCCAGCTCACTGCAGCCGTGCCCAGCTCCCCAATCCCTCACCTGGGTCTCTGTGAGACGCAGTGTCGCAGCCAGGTCCACTCGCTCTGTGCCCACCATGTACTGCTGCTTGAGGAACTCTTGCTCCAGCCGCTCCAGCTGCTCTGGTTTGAAGACTGTGCGCACCCTCTTCATTTTGCAGGGCCCTCCGGACCTCCAAGGCACAGCAGGGCCCAGTGGGTCGGCCCCTGTGCAGTGAGACAACTCCAGACCTGCATGCAAGAAGCAGGGATTTAAGGGGTCTCAGTGGTTGAGGCCATTCCTCCAGCCCTGCTGAAGAGCCAAGCTCAGCTTGCATGGGCTGTGATTAAAATCCAAACGCAGCTGCTCTACAACTGTAACGGGGTGGGAGGAAGGAGCACCAAAAATAAAAGCATGGATGTCCCTTTGTGGCACTAAAGGACGTAGTTTAGTGAAGGACTTGGTAGGTCAGGTTAGTGGTTAGGCTTGGAGATAGCGAAGATGTTTTCCAGTGCAGATAATTCTGTTTCTATGACAGGTACCACCTACAACAGTCCTGGACGTGCAGCCAGACCCAAAGTCAGTTCTAGTGAGCAGATTTTAACCTCCCATCTCCACAGAATCTTTATAACAACACCCATCAAGAGTTGTTGAGTGAAAAAACACCACCCCCCTTTCAGGAAGCCTCTCATCACTGATATCCAAACGCTGGGGAAGCTCTGCCCATGCTCAGCCAGCACTGGGGGGGAGGATGCTGAAGCTGGCAGCATCCTGCAGGACAGCCGTTCCCAAAGTCCCCTTCAGCTCCTTAGGAAAGCCATCATCTCCCTTTCCTGGTCCCTCCATGGGACTGAATGGCCCAACCCGTTCCTTTTGTGCAGGAGTGACTTCAGATCTGCTCTTTGTCTCTAGCACAGCCCTTTATCTAGTTGTGACCTGATGATAACAATAATTAGCTCATTAACAAACAGCTGTCACAGGTCCCACTGGCCCCAGCCTAAGAGCAGTGCTACGCTGTCAGATCCAAGCAGGCACCGTGACCTACTTCATGTCATTAATTAAGGTGTAAGTTCTGCACGTGTTTAACGATTTGTGGGCTGGAGAACTGACAGCTCAACAGCCCTAATTGCACTTCAACTATTTGCAGCCCTCAGATCATTTTACCAGTCACACCTTTTTTTCCCCTGTTTTGATACTTGGATAATAGAGAGTGCAATTACTGACATGTGATAGAGATTGTGGATAGAGACATGTATTTTCCTATCTTCACATTCAATATAATACACAGAGTAACATATGCAGCTATACAGACGCTGGCTGTTAAAGGAAGTAAGACATTAAGTAGCTGTACGATGTAGCTTAAAGAAAAAAAAAAGAAAATCAAGTGCAGCAAATATTTGTGGTCTGAATATTGCAGCTCTCAGACCGAACCAGAACTCCCCATGCAGCTGCCAGCTGTGCTGAGCTGCCAGTTTTGCTCCAAATGCTAAGAAGAGACTTAATGTCAAGGACGGGGGGGGACGGGGGGGACGGGAGGGAAAGCCTATTTTCGGTCAGCCCGTCCGTTCCAAACCGCGGGGCTCTCCCACCCCCCGCCCCCCCGCAGCCCCGCACCCCGAGCCCCGCGCTCACCTCCTCCCCAGCGGCAGCCCCAGCTCCAGGCTCCCGGCCCCGGCATGGGGAGAGGGATGGGAGGCGGCGGGCCGGGGGCTGCGTGGCCGGGCCGTGGGGGTTCGGCGAGGAGAGCATCGATGTGGAAAGGAGTCTTGGGGGGAGGCATGGCCGGCTGGGTGCCTCCGACCGGCCCGGCGCCTTTATATGGGGAGAGGGAAACGGAGAGCTGCTATGCAAAAAGGGGGCGGGGGGGCTGCCCGACACCTGCCGGCCCGCGGCGACAGCGAGACAACACCTCCCCCAAACCCTCCTCCCCAAACAACAGTCCCTGAAAGCCCTCCTTCTGAACCGACGGCCCTCCTTCCGAAACTACACCCCATGGTAGTTTCCTCCCATTCAAACAAGAGCCCCCAGAACGCCTTCCTCTAAAGTAACACCTCCAGGATCACCCCTCTGACTAAAGGTACACCCCTGGGGCCTTCCAAAATAACACCCCCCATCGCTCCTCCTAAAACAGCACCCTTTAAGGACACTTCTCCTTTGAAACCAGCTCCCCCATGGACAGTCATCAGCTTCCTCCCCTCCAAAACCCAACACCCCTCCTTCCCCACCCGTGTTCCGACGGACACCCCTCCTTCAAGGCCAGCACCTCCACTGACACCTCATGGACACCCACATCTTTCCCCATGGACACCCACACCAACACCCCCTCCTTCCCCCCCACTGACACCCACATCTGTTCCAGCTGACCCCCAGAAGGAGAAGTGCAGCTGGCACGGACGCATGGCCGATGTGTGAGAGTGCCCAGCAAACAGCACTGGGGATACGCAGCCCTGCATGCACAAATATCCCTGCACATATCTCTGCGAGCACAACGTTCACACTATAAACTAACTCCATTATAAGCACAGAGAAATCCCCAGCACAGAGCGTTTGGGTCAATAAACACAAAACAAGAATCCCCCCATGGCTTAACTATCTGGCATTAAGTGTCTCTGTGTGCAGGGCGGGCTGTCTGTACCGAGCAAATCCTGCCTTAAATCAGGGATCCGTGCCCTTCTCACACACTTTGAAGTTCCTTTTATAAAGGGGCATCTCTATATGTTAAGCAATTGGAGGGAAATGGAAATTTTGCGACAGAGCCGGCATCGCCCCCCCCGGCGAGGCAGCACCCTGCTGTTGGTTATGGAGCCTTTGGGAGCAGGATGCCTGCAGGACACAAAGGAGTCCCTCAGCTTTGCCTTTCAAACACTTTTTCCTCCCGTTTAGCATCCTGCCTTCCACGGCAGCTTCAAAATAAGTGAATAAATACAGCTGCTGCTTTATGGCTCCTTATCCAAACACACAGCCCCAACCCTGCCGGCATTTAACTCTGTGCTTAATTGAAATCACACGTTCAAAGCTGGGCAAGCACTGAAGCCTCTCCCCGAAAAGCCCATCACCGAGAAGATGATGCTAAGGATTCACAGCTCCTGGCTTGAGTTTGGCTTTGGGTTGCAAAGAGCTCGTGGGTTAAAACATGCTTAGATAGGAATTTTTCTGGCCAATTGCTTTTTTCTCTTTTTAATAAGTCACCATAACCCACGTCGTTTCCCATGGGAAGAGATGGGAGGGGAGCTCTGGGTGTTCAGTTCTCACAGAATTGGAACGTTGAACTGTTCAATCATAGAACCATGGAATCGTGGAAGTGTACAGTCATTGAATCATGGAATCATTGGGTCATTCAATCACTTGATCATCGAATCATAGAATCGTGGAATCATTCAGTCACTGAATTGTTGGATCGTAGAATCACTGATTCGTGGAATCGTTGAATCATGGAATCATTGAAGCATGAGATCATTGAATCATGGAGTCGTGGAATTATGGGATCATGAAATCATAGAATCATAGAATCATGGAATCATTGAATCATGGGATCATGAAATCATAGAATTGTGGAATCGTGGAGTCATGGAATCAAGGAATCATTGAATCATAGAATCATGGAATCATGGAA